TCGACCCTAAACCCTGAACCCTACATTTATGGACGGTCTAGAGGTCCCCAGCCTCCCGCTCCAAGCGGATTTGCGCTCCCATGCGAGAGCGCGTAGCAAACTCGCCGATGAGCTCTTCCGAAAGCTGAACCTGGATTTAAGGTTTAGCGTTTAGGGTTTAGGATTTAGGGTTTAGGGTCTAGCCATAACTCAGGGTTTGTGGGGGAGTCATTTTGACTTTCAAATCTTAAAATTCAGGAATTTTGGGGACCCTAAGTAATGGTAAGTTTATAAGGAGCTTGAGGGTTTTAGAGTTCAGGGTTTAGGGTCAGACAGCAGCCCAACGGGCCCAAGTACATAAGAATTAGGTCCCCTTTAGGGGGATATATAGGATTATAGAAGCTTATCTAGGGATGTATGGGGATATGTAGGGATATTGAGGGTTTAGGGTTCAAGTATCCCATATTTAGGTATTTGGGATTTTGCGGTAATAGCAATTATGATTATAATGCAGGTTTTGAGAAAGTACATGATTATCGCGCACTTGGATCCTTAGGGCAGCTTTTGTGTTAAGGTTCTCTTTGAGGGTGGATACACGGTCATATAGGGTTCCAGAAGCTATCCTAAACCCTAAACCCTAAACCCCTATACAACCCTATTATGTACCCAGAAATACTTTCGCACTTAAAAATACTTCTGCACTGCAACCCTAGAGCCCCAAGAGAAAATCCCCACCTCCGCTATCTCAAGGGTCTAAAGCTCTAAGCACGCAATGATCATATAATGCCTCCCGGAGACTCCTACAACCCCTAAACGCCCCCTATCCTGAACCCCTAAACCCTAAACCCTAGATAGTAGTTTCCATTTTCGTCTCCATTATCCCTAGCAAACTCTTATATACCTCTTTATATCCCTACAGAGCACCCTGAATTACAGGATCCTCAAGGGCAGGTGGTTCAAGCGGGGAGGGTACAAGGGAGCCTTGGGAAACTTTAGGGAAGCTTAGGGAGTATAAGGGAATAATGGGGATTACTAGGTTATCTACCCACCTTGGACCA